GTTTTTTAATACAAACACACACACACACACACAAAATCAGGACTCATAGTAGAGATGATATCTTTTATTAGACCAACAAGATTTTTGCAAAAAAATTTGCAAGCTTATTTTTTGCAAAAATCTTGTTGGTCTAATAAAAGATATCACCTCTACTATGAGTCCTGATCACCTTTTCCTCTAGACCAATACAGCTACAGCCTGGATACCTATATATAAGTATGGATTTTGGGTTACTTTTTTAAATCCGAAAATTGGTGGGGGGGAGTTGTTGTTTTTTTTATTAGAGAAAACCAGGATCCCTGATTATCAGGAAACACCTTTAAATTTTTTTTAAAAGGTAAAACATAAAGATGGGGTAGCAATGTAATTTTCAGGGGCTAATCTCCTGTATGCTGAGATGATATGGGAACATCCACCAGAAGACTAATTCTGAGAGACAACGGTAGCATGATCTAGCTACTGATGTTCGAAGTAAGGGCCCTGCAGGTTGATGGGAGAGAACAGACCTGTGGAAAGTCAGTCAGCAGCGGGACCTGGCCACCTAACTTGCACAACACCAGCGAGCTGCTACATCTTTTCAAAACAGATATTCTGTTCCAGCATGAATCAGTTTTGCACCAAAGCCATATTACACAGTGGAGTCAGACTGTCTGGTTTGTCCTAGCTGAAATTCAGGATAATGCTTAAATTAACCAAACAGTCCCTTGCATCCATTTCAGGGATAGCAGAGTCTTTTAGCACAGTTCCCACTTCCATGAAGTCTTGTAACGACCCTGCCTCTACTGCGTGCATGCTCTCATCAGACTGCTGGACCTCAGCATGAAGAGGATTTACCTTTAGTGAACGTGCCATGTAAATGAGTGGTGAAAGTTTTTAAAAACGCTAGTAGAGTACACTTTTGATTCTAGTTCCCCTGCACACGTCCCTTTAATCTCATCTCTTACACATGTATCCCTAATTTTTTCCCCCCAATAAGCTTGCTAAACTACCTGCAAGCAGCCAGGAAGGGTATTTCAGTCACTTCCACCTAATCTGTAGCTGAGGTTGATTAGGACTCTAATCATCGCATCCTCTTTCTGGCTACCTAAACAAGCTGTAGTAACCTCGCACATCCGATTGAGGGAGCAGTTTGCACGACTTAATGTTGGCTTAAAAGAAAAATTCAAATACAACAGGCAGCTCTGTCTACAGCCAGTCTTAATCAACATAGCAAACACCAGTATTTGAGGATGGTCCAGAATGGAGTCTGTAAAAATACATGCTGCAGGAAGTCCAAGATGGATGAGGGTTAGAGCAGTGAGTTTAAGCGGCAAAACTGTCAGCTTAAGCTGCCATCAGGACATTTACCCTCTTTTTGTGCAGCACGCTAAGGCTGTCGGGTAAGTGTCTATCAAGACTCATAGCTCTAGTCAGCTTAGCAATGATATGTTCTAATCATACACAAGTCTATAAAAACAGCAGACCGTAGCTGAGTTGTTAGCAGAATAGCTGACTAGCAGAATGACTGCTGTGTTGTCAGTGTTTCTCTGGGGTTTAGTAAGAGTTGCTTTCTCTGGGTGAAAATTCCTATTTGTGTTAACAGATTCCTCCTGTATGACAGTAACGCATCACCCTTCCCCACCTTTTATTTTTTTAATAGCTTCTTCAGCCAAAATGGGTCTGATTGAGACCACCAGAGGGCTTCTTCCTGGTGCAGGTAACCTTGCTTCATTCAATTGTGTGACATACTGCATCTGGGGAAGTAGATTTTACTGTGGCAGACAAGGTTCTTTGGGTGAATCTGATATATTTTATTAGACCAACTTAAATAGTTGGAGAACAAATTTTTAAGCAAGTTTTCGGGTTCAAAAACCCTTCATCAGCATCTGAGGAAGAGCTTTACAAGGGAAAGGTATTGAGCACTCAGAGCAGAGCCAGGAGTTGGCATCCAGGAGTCTGTGCAAAGCTATTGATTGCTGTAATCTTAGACAAGTCACTTCTGCCCTTGCCTTTCACATTTATAGTGGGTTTACACCAATACCCTGGAGGGCATTGCCATTACTGAATGTTTTTTGGTAGAACACCAAGGTGACAGATGCAATAGACCTGCTGCTAGTCCTCGGTGATGTATTTTACATGGCAGGGGAGCAAAACCTTTTTAGCATTTGAGTCACAGAGACCTAACACGGTGTTGTTATCTTAAGGGGGAACCCAGCGCCTGCCCCGCTGTATTGGAATAGGTCTTGCAAAGGAGCTCATTTTCACTGGTAGACAGATTGACGGACAGCAGGCCTTCTCAATGGGACTGGTAAACCATGCAGTACCACAGAACGAGCAGGAGGATGCTGCTTACCAGAAAGCATTAGCTCTGGCTAAAGAAATCGTTCCTCGGGTCAGTATATAGTTTGGCTTACTTCATGGAAAGAGGGGGCTTGTGTGCTTGATGAGACTAATTAGCTCCCCACTTTCTCCACGTAACAGTAAAATCTTGGTAAATTCAAATAACTGAAGATGCAAAGTACCTATCTGATTTGTGGGCACACTGAGCTTCCGTCATTCCAAAAGGAAGCACATTTTGAAGCCCAGGCCCTTGAGTTTCACCAAGAGAAAGAGAACTTACCTCGGGTTCAGATTCCTGAGCGAGTCTGGATGAGTCAGAATAATCTTCCCCTTTCTCCGCTGCATTTCCTTTTATGTCTAACTGTCAGTAATGCTGAGACACTTAACCAGCCCCTTAGAGAGAGAAAAGGTCAGGACACTGCTTTGTGGTCAGCAGGTCAGCACAAGCATCCCAAGCCATTTCAAGTCACGCTAGTGGGTATTGGCATTCTGCACATCCAACACTGACACAGTCCCAGTCTACCCTGACCTAAGTTTGCTGGCCTCCTGTAACCTGACTTTCGAAGGCACTGAGCACAGGCAGCTGTATTTTTTTTTTACTGGGAGTTGCAGGCAGATAGCACCTCTGAGAATCAGGCTTTGGATTTAAGCCAGTGGTTCTCAACCTTTTGAAACTCAAGAAAATGCCAACTCCTTAGCATTCACTCATTTCTTGATTATGGAAAAATAATAGAGCAATATTGTTGTTGCAGAGAACTCAGAAAAAACACAGCAGGGCAGAATGCTTTTGACACGATGGATTCCTATTTGAAATCTCTAGGTTTATCTTGTGAATCAGGTGTGCAAATATCTACACATAACAGTGCTAATATTACATGGCACCCGAAAGTGTTACAGCACCCTGATTGAGAATCAAAGCTTTAAGCACCCAAATCTGCAGATTCTGCCACACCAAGCACTTTTATGAATTCTAGGTCATCTTTGCTTTGTAAAATATAACATAGCACTGACTTACCTGTAAAGTCCTAAAGACAGGAAGCTCATTTGGAAACAAGACATAATGAAATGACTGCACTGCTGCACATTCTGATCGCTTCAGTTACTTACACATCTCTTCCTTTTTAATAAAGGCTCCAATCGCTGTGAAAATGGGTAAACTGGCAATAAACAGAGGAGTAGAGGTAATCGGTTTAATGAAGGGCTTTTATTTTTTTGAAAGAGGAAAAAATGGTTTTGAAGTATTCTGGGGGGTAAAAAATGACTTCTTGCAGGTCATTTATTAGAACTACTATAATGCTGCTTCAAAGAGCCGGATTCTGATTCTTGTCTTAAACTAGGCATTTAGATCCCTTGTAAGATTGTGGTAAGATCTCGTGAAAGATAAAGTTAACTTGTCAGGGCAGCATTTTAACTCCAAGTTCACATTGCAGTCCTACATGAAGAGCTAGAACAATAGTCACTGAAACTTAATGGAAGCTACTTATTAAAACATTCACTGCTTTGAGTGCTGTATATTTCAGACAAATCTCCCTTCTTTCAGGTGGATATTGCTTCAGGGATGGCTATTGAGGGAATGTGCTATGCTCAGGTATGGTATCTATTATTTTACGAAGTGACACTATCCATTTCTTCCGTGGCCCTGCAATAACCATGAGCCAAGTGGAGTTTCATGGTCAAAGTTTTGAAAACTTAACTCAAGTCACAAACATGTTTCCAACCCGCCAAATAAACAGGGCTCGTGCAGACTAGCAGAACTCCTGTACGTTACTCAGACCAGACTGGCTTTTTGAAGGCCCTAACCCTGACCATCTTTTCAACAAAGGGTGTTTTTACAAGATTGAGCAATGGGATCTCACTTCGGTTTTGGTGTCAGTCAAGTTCTGGTGCACCGTTCATGTTACAAACATGCATCCTTCCCAGCCGGTGATGGCCTTTAAAACTTTAGTTGATTGTGGAATTTATTTATTTTAAGTATAATGTGGGTCATGGAACTTAATTTCAGGCAGTCAAGCTCTATGTCTTATAAGTAGGGGGTCTACTGAACTTGAAGTGGCAGCTGGCCGACTTGGTGGGCAGACCCTGGGGCCAGCTGTCATTTTCATAAGTGGGGTGCAACAGGCCCCCCCTACGTTTCTGATTGAGCGAGGGGGCCTGGCAGTCCTGCTTCTCCCCACAGGTTGCCAGATGGCCCAAAACTGTGGCTTAATTACCCTGATTAAACCTGGTGAAGTCATTAATCCATGTGTTATTAAGCATGGATGAATATCTTCCCTGGGCTAAGTCAGGATACAGGCAGTCCTCGGACTTACACCACAAAACCACATCTTAAGTCGAAACGTCATTACTCGGAACCCATAGGAACAATGTTATAAATGAGGGATTGGTTCCTGAACCAAAGCCCGATACCCTGTTTTCACCAAAAATACCCCAGGATTTTGTACTCAATCAATTATAGATGAGTAATATAGCTATATGAATGTATGTATATTGTAAATAGCAATCATATTGATTTGGAAGGACTTCTTGGAGGTGACTTTGCTGGACTTTTTGAAGGAGTATCTCAGGAGTCTTGTCTGCAGGTTTTTCTGGAGTCTTGTCTGCTTTCTTAAAGAAAGTGCCCAAGGAAGTTTGGACAGGTTCTCCAGGGAGATGGGTGATGCAGCAAACCTGTTTGCTGGTGTGGTGTCGGATCAAGCGTTGTAAAGTCGAAACTGACATCAGAAAGTCAAAACTGGGTGTCAGTTTATAAATGCTGTAAGTGCCATTCATTGCAACTCAAAATGTCTTAAGTGGAGGACTGCCTGTAATTAAGTCTCAGTTTCTGGTCATCCCCAAGTAGCGGCTCACTGCCAAAAAAAAAACACAAACCAAAACCCAACAAAAAAAGCAAACTTACCAGCAAGCAGAGAAGCCCTGCAGTCTTGGAGCACGGGGGGTTGGGAAGGGATGAGCAGGCTTAGAGCACGGCAGGGTTGCAAGCAGGATGAGCACCCCCACACTGGAGCCACAAACCATGTACAGAGCATTCGCTATGATGAACCTGCAGCACACTGTTGAATAAAACCTGTCACAGGGCAAAAGGCCATCACCACCTGGGGAGGGAAGAAAGAGGAGGGCAGCAAGTCAGGTACAACCTGCAAATTGCCATCCCCATAACTTTACTGGGATCATCATAGCGAATGCTCTGTAAGTTGTCTGTGGCCTTCCCAGCACCCGATCCTTGTCCCTGCCCCAAGACTGCAGGGCCTCTCTGCTTGCTGGCAAGTCGGGGGGTTTTTTGGCAGTGAACCTGCCAAAAGTAGAGCCCATGCTTTTTTTTGCAGAGCCTGCCCAAAGTCATAGTTTCAGGGAAAATAGCGCAATCACGATTTCGGTAGGTTTCTATTTATAAGACACGTTACCTACCACCTTTCCATTTTCCTGCTTGTCATGTACAGGCCAAGACTTGCCTACCCAGCAGTGGTATCCCCTGAATATCTGTAAGAGTTCTAGGGCTAGTGTACGACTCACTTAGGATCACTTGAAACATTGTTCTTATTTCACAAGGGAAACAGCCTCCTTTCTTTTAAATGCAGAACATTCCTACAAGAGACCGGCAGGAAGGAATGGCTGCCTTCAAGGAGAAACGTCCACCCCACTTCATTGGGGAATGATGATTCAAAGCTTTCCCCCTTCTTTGGTGGCAGGATTCCTTAGGAAATAAAAGGGCCAAGAAGCAGAACCTGAAGTTTATTGGAATGGTTAAATTGCTATAAATAATTTCATAAACTCTGGCATGGGTGACATTCCTGGACACTCCAGAGGAGCCAGTTTTTTAAAGGATAATTCTAATATGTTCACTGTAATTAACTGAATAAGTTAAAAGGCTTAGATTTGTAAAATGACGAGTGACTACAAGACATTGATTGGGCATTTCCCTAGTAATCTGACTCTGAAACAGGCTAGCAGTGAACATCAGTTAAAAAAAAAATGGAGCCCAACTCCTTCTATTAAGTGAGCATTTCAAACCGGTGGCAAATTTAGTCAAAAGCAAACTCATGCCCAGAACTGGTCTTCTGGGACTAGAAGAGTCGTCTTCAGGCACAACAGGGAAAGCATTTGCTTCTCTTTGTGCCAGCTGGCTTAAGGTAACTACTGGCAACATTGGACCAGAACTCTTTGATACCAGTTTTTAAATAGTTTTCCATGCTTGCTTTTTGTACTGTACACAGACTCCCAATAAAGGTCAGTGCCTTACTCTTTGCAGAACTGGTTGTGGTGTGTTCATTAAGAACATCTTGGAAGGAAACGTGGCTTGCTGCCCTGTAACCAGGCCACTAGTTCTTTGGCATATTCAGTCCTGGTCACTAGAAACAGCTGCTGCTTGCTTGATCACAGACAGTTTTTCTTAGTTTCTGCACAGCAACAAGGCAACCTAATTATGCTGCTTCTCTACAGCTGGCCCAAGCCAGAGTATGGGCTTCTGGAGGATGGCACTGGTTTAGCTACTTCTTCCTACCTGAAATGTAAAGGCTTTGCAAGTTGCTTTTATGAACCTAGCCTGTGTTATCCTGAAAGCTGAAGCAGTTAAACATCCTTAATCACAAAATCGGTACACAAACCACAAAAAAGGGAGTGGGGGAGGAAGAAGACTGATATTTAAGAAGATGAGTATTTAAGGGTACCGGGGTCAAGTCAGTGACACTGTAAGAGGCTGAGTGAGGATGCTGAAGCTCTTAAGGGCAGCTCGTTTGTTCTTTCTGCCTTCTCATTGCAGGCTACTGGAAATGCATCATTTTCAGTCATTTTATAGCAGCCATCACCGAGACTCCCAGAGAGCCAGTTGCACTGCACCAGCCTTTAAGGCACCATGAATATACACCTAGTCTATGAGCAAACAAGGCACAAGCCTGCCAAAATAGGAAGTTTCTGCAGCCCAGTCCTGTCTAGAGTCATCCTCTGGTAAGGCTGCTGTGCAAGTCTAGAGCCTGGAACTACTACACACTTGTTTTTGATCGTGTTCATAAGTCACATGCATTAATATTAATTCACCCACCAGGCACTGTATGCATGAAGCTGGATTCTTTACACTCAATTTTGCTATTATTCCCAAAGTATCATTTTTATACAGGGAACTTTCCAAGCTACTGCAACTAGATTTGCCACATACTGTGTTTGCGTCCTTTAGACATTTTTAATACATTCTCCACTTGGATTTCCTCAACCCCTCCAGGTGAACCCTAACAAAAAAAATATATCACCGAACTAAGCTAATTGCTGTTTCTGCACTTCACACTTTCTGGGTTTTTTTCATAAGACAAAGGAGAAACTTCTTGACTTTGCAGGTGCTGGGGGAAAAAACCATGTGGCAGTAGCAAGGTGTCAACTAGAGAGCTAGTCCATGTTAATTCTAGCACTGCAAACTGGAATCCCGAGTTTACAGCAAGCAGCTGGCCAAACAGAGGAAGGTTTAGAGAACAGGTGAAAAGAGTCTGTAAATAGATGGCTACCAGCTTCCTAAATAGGTGGCTGAATCTGCCATAAGGATCCTGTAGAATCTGAAGAGAAGTCTGGCCCCAAACTGATTTTACCAAACACGCGCCCACCCATTTCCTGCCCTACTAGCAATGCATATTTGTGTCTCTAGGACTCTGAAAATAAAACTAGCAGAAGTAACTGGCCAGACTGAAAGACGCAAGCAGCAGCCACAAAGAATATCAAGTAGATCAGGAGACAAAAAAGCATGTTGTAACTACCTTGAGTAAAATAGGTAAATATTCAAGATGTTCATTACTCTGTGTCTTTACTGAGATTTAAACAAATTAAAGAGGTTAAAGGAAGGGCAAATACTGGATTTTTTCCCAGCCTGCAAACAGTGCAGAACCATGTGCTAGCAACCCCTTTGCCTACAAGGTCAGCCCAGCATGTTTACAGAGATGGAACACTTTGAAACGAGCAATCTGGTTTCATGGCACCCACTTTATTCCATCAACGGTTACACTTTAACCGACGCACTGGTATGTTGATGCAATCCATTTCTTTCTGCACAATTCAAGTAATGTCACAACCAACCAAGTCTAAGAATGAAGATGTCCATAAACAATACATATCTGAGTACTAGTCCTTGATTTGCTGTTTGTATCTTATTATATGAAAACTAAAAAAAGCCTTTGGAAAAAACTCACTTGTTAAAAATAAACTTTTAAAATTTACAGTTCCATAGCAATGAGATTTACACAGGGATTTACACAATGTTGGTGATACTTTGCACTAGAAGTCTTTGGAAATATAATTCACTGCACAACATGTATCACGCATTTCCACGGACATGTATTTCACGCCCACTAGTGTCAAATGGGGAACATGTGCGCACTGCTAAAGGAGAACTTGGAAACACTAAAGCAACAAGTAGCTTCCACATATGGTGACGACTTATGTTCCATGTACTACGTGGGTACAGTCTCAGGTGTTCTGTTGTTCACTGAGTTTCTAGGTACAATTCTACACTCACCTTTGGATTTTTGCCCTCACAAATTTCTCCTGACTTGTCCTATTGCAACTCCAGTAGAGCCAATCCAATCACTCCTTTTTACACAAGGCTAATTCCAACATGGTTGATGCAGCACAGGAAGGAGAAAAGCTAGCAAGTGGCATGTGATAATGGTCCAATATTAGAAAAATTAGACCAGGAGCCTGGCTTACAGGGAACTCGAGTGATTTTACAGGTTTGGCTGGGGGTGGCCCTGCAACTGACACTTCAGTCACAGTGGTAAGTAAGCGCACATATACAAGTGCAAAAATGCTGGTTTGCAAGCATGTAAAGCTCTGTTTCCAGCCCTGCTTGCCTAAGCAATAGAAGCCGTTTCCAGACAGTAATGGAAGAGGTGACGGGACAGATTTTTAGAGGTATGTAGGTGCTAGGCATCTAATGCATCTAAAAATCTGGTCCAAAGCTTCATTTCCTCCCTTAGGACATGAGGATTCCTAAGGGACTCAGGCTGTGCACACTTTACAGGCCCTCAATGCAGTCAGCAGTAATCTTACAGGAATGATCCTCTTAAGAAGTGATCCTACACCCCTTAAAAGAGCACAATACACGATTTTCATTCCCATTAGGCTGTGAAGAAATGCAAAGAATAGTTAAGCTATACCTGCAGCTATCCATTTGATTTGGCTTCTGGTTTCTGTAAAGATTTAGGTTTCCCATAGTACCTTATGTGGGTATCTACACTATCTAGTATCTCAGCAGTGATTTGTAGGACATCCGGATCAGTCTGCTCATTTCCCTTGATGTCATGTAAATGCCGCAGTCCACCTTCTTCAATAAGCATGCTGCAGTACCTGGCAGCTGAAACCAAAGAGAAGAATGTTCATTGTCATGAACCTCACTACATGAGAACCTAGGTAGAGTAAAGTACTGGAGAAGAACAAATGGAAAATTAAAACATTTTGTTGGAAAATGTCAATTTGTCAAAATCCCAAGAAAACTTTCCCAACATGTTCTTTGTGAAAACTTCTCAAGGTCACGATGGCACTTGGGTCAAAGCCCAAAAATTCCCATCCAGAACTAACATTAGGCTGGGAGTCATGAATTCAGCCAGAAGGTGAGAGACCAGGGCCTGAAAGACCCAGTCTATCTGATTTAGGCCAAGGACCTGACCCTGCGTTTCAGGTGAACATCAAGCAACTGATTATTTTACAGAGAACTGTCTTATTTTTCCACAAAGCTCCCGAAGGCTGCACACACATCCCAGCGTGAGATTTTCAAATTCTGTTGCAATTTCAAGGGAGATTAAGATCATTTCTGGCCTCTCTCTATTCTGTAGTTAACTCTTTGGCCTCTGACCCCTATTATTCTAGGGCATGACGTTCAGATGCTGTCTGTTTTGTTCCTTCAGCAGCTTCCATGCAGTGACATTGATTCAGGAAAAATAAGGCAAACACCAAGTGCTGCTGTAAACCTCACCCCGATGTCAAAAGTTTACATAGCAAGGAAGAGAGCATTTCTCAGATATACATTTCATGGACTGCAATTGCATTCTGAATCACACTTGTTAAGAACCACACTGCAAGCTTGCTACAACTCATACATTGACTTCATGGCACATGTTTATGCAGGTTGTTAAGATTACATGCTTCACTGTCTAACACTACTTGATTATCCTAATGAATAATATACACAAGCCTGGTTTTTTTATTTCATAAAACCTTTGCAAATTGACAGACTACTATAGATGGGGAGAGACCACTTTACTGTTAGAGCTGCCTCTGAGGTACAGCACACAACTAGGCTACATAATGGTTCAGAGCAGAAACAAAAGACCAATACAGTACCCAGATGGTACTGCACTCCACAGGAGCCCTAGCTGTAGACAGAGACGTGAGATCTCCTAGCTTTCATAACAGGAAGATGAAACCAGCCTCTTGAAGAATTTGGGGGATAATTTATGCTCCTTTTCCCCTTCCTCCTCATTCTTCCTATGAGACTGTTTTCAGGGAACTATTTCTGGAAGGTCCCAGAGCTGAAGCCAAGGGAAAGCTCCTAGACTCTCGAATCCGGGTCTGGGGGTCTCTGATCAGATTCGGGCCTCACAAGTATGTCCATAAGGAATACTGAGGCAAGGTTACTTGATTTCTTCAAGAGAAGGATCTGCAGATACTGCATTTCAGGAGAACATAAGTCTTCTCTAAACAAATGGCAGACATTGTTGCGGGAGGAAAGTTCATAGACAAATCATGTAGTTCTTGCATCCTGGAGTTTTTAGGTCTAGTAGCTGAGGATGGGGGTGAAAAGAGTATGAGAGGAACTAAAATAAGTCTCCCCAAGTCCTCCAGATAATGGATCACTGCGTCTATACTCTAACTACAGACACTAAAAGGATAAATAAGCAGGCCAGACTAGATTGAGACATTCAGGCTCCATCCCAAAGCACAAGCAGCAAAAAGGAACTGGAACAGCACCTGGTCCTACACCACCCTACATATTTGTTTGTGCACATAAGATTAGCTAATGCACATGAACAGACACAATGGGCACTCCTAACCAAGTGCCTGCTTTCTGATACATGGGGCACACTCAGACTCAGCGAAGTGCATACAAGGACAAGCATTTAAAAGAAGTCACCAAGGCATGGCAAAGCCCTGCCTATTGCTTGGAACATCTCACAGTACCTGCAATAAAACTAAGGATTAATATTCAAATTAAGGCCTAAATAAACCACTACAGCAGAGAATGAAGAATTAAGGTGTACTTCTCCAGAAGGCTTATG